CCCCCCCCGACTGACAAACCGCCATGAGGTAGCCCGCGGCTGTCCCAAGTGAATAATGCCAGGTCGACTGATTAGGAGCTAGTGGCTTTGCCGACTTAAGAATATGCCACTGCAAATTCCTCCAGCTTGGAACTCATTGCAACGTCTCCTCTGCGAAATGCTCGACACATGAAATGAATCCCCTAGAGTGCGATAAGGCTCTAACGAAGTCACGGGACCCACAACAGCTGGGTGACTTCGGATGACTTTGCTAGTAGCCCGTCGGGCTGCGATGTGTGGGATGTAGCTCTTTGTAACTCGAAGGCTTGTTGGGACTTTTATCATAGTACAATTTAAGTGTGAAATAAAGTACCTTTCATTTTCTAGTTTTTAATTGGCTTAAAATCCCTGCAAATACATGGCTGGAGCCTTATCGCACTCTAGGGGATACTGCTGATCCCTGCCAGCACTGCGCTTGCACAGCGTCTCAGGCTCGCATGATTGCAAGGATTTCCGCGCCTCCCAACACAGCGGTAAGAAGAAGGTAGAAAGGCGGAGAACAAGGCCGATGCAAACCATTTTCGCCTCTCCGTAGTATCGAACGGACCGTTCTATCAGGAGTGCATGTGTAGTTACGTGCTCCGTCCTGCCTAGCAAGGTATATGTGCGGTGCCACAACGGGAGGCGGCGCGCGGCATCGATGGCAATGGTTCCCCAGCTAGCAACAATGCACATTTCTCCATAGGAGGGGGTGATGGGGAAGACCGACTTCATCATTCGAAATACCCGTTTCATCGGTTGGCTTCACTGGGACCAGGCGATGCCTCCTGGACGTCCTGGACAGTCCCCACGCTAATTAGAATCGTCAATACCAGAACCATTTCGGGCGACATGCATGCGATCCACTCCGGAGAGACTCCGCCCCAATATCCTGACGATGATGGTCGTGGCTGTGAAGCGCATTGGATTGGATGTCCTGTCAAGACTCCAGGTAACTATTAGAATACGCCTGTACGTACGGAGTACACACGGCGTATGTACATACAATAGACCCGTTCGGTCTTGTCAGCAACCCACAGATGTGCAGGGCCGGCCGGCTATTACTTCTGCACTGCTAGATAAACCAACCATCCTGTCTCCTTGTTACCGCGATGTTTTGATGGCATTACGGAGTATGACAGAGGGTACTACTACATGAACTTGAAAAGTACTAGTCTACCACATCTATATATGTCACCTTACTGAGAAACGTAATGCCCTATTGCTTCTTAGAGGGCAACTTCGAACCCGAGATATAGGCGCCACCCCCGATGTGCGTGGTGTGGAGAGTACTTGGTCAGAGGACGAAGTATTCAAGCAAAATGTGCAAGCATGTTGCTCCATATTAGAGCTAGCCCTTTTTTTTTTTTTTTTTTTTTTAAATTCAGGCTAAAAATTTACTATTCCACAATATCAACGGAGTGCGACTATACACCAATAATTCGTCACTACCGGTATCTCTGTATCGGTCTTGGCAGCATTGGCGTGTCCCCTATGGGCCACATTATCGCAGCTTTGTTCGGCACGTGTGCAAGAATCTAGATCCTTAGGAAAGGCCTCGCTTTCATTCCTGCGTTTGGGGTAGTCTGAGTTTGGTACCACGCAACATAGCTTTCTGGATCTGCCTCCAGAAATTGGTATCCCCGTCGGAGCATTTCGGCGGCCGCCGTCACCTCATATCAGATGCACTTGACTGATCCGACAGGCTGGCTGCGAATCTGCACTCAGCTGCTGAGAACTCGGGCTGTTAACCTGACTGGCCAGGGTACCATATTGAAAGTGCCACAAGGAGGTCATTGCTCATGTCGGTTGGTGTCTCACAGGGGCCCCCTCACCAACACGGTCGATGTAAAAAGAAGAAAAACGTCGTCTCATTGGTAGCCAAATTCTCGCTACCATTTATCAGAGACCATTGAACTCGGTCAATACGTGGTACGAACAAGCCGTCGACCAGAACCAATACGGGGGCCTCAATATTGTACAACATGCCTGGCCTGCCTCTGGCATGGAAATACTCCGTACGCGGCAAGACTTTGGCCAGCTTCTGTTATGCCAAGTACATTTCTATCGACATATGTTCTCCACGCCGTCACGTTTTCATGAAAACATGGCACATTGCCGACTCTCATTGTTGTGTGCAAAATTACACTCTTCACCTTTTACTGTCTGTTTGTGAATGTCTATAAGCAATGACGCGCTGGACGAAACTCGAGCCACAAGTGGACGCTCCCAAAAAGGCGTGGTTTGGGTATCCCAAAGTGTCTCACTCATGCCCAGATATAAAACATCTGTACAGAGCACGTCCCGTGCATAGATGTGCATGGAAATATTCCTAACCCTCATCTGGCATTGATGAGCACACATGGTCACGTCAACAATTTGTTCGCATTGTACAGAGTACAAGACATGGTACGCAAAGTCCTTGATGCGGTGAGTACAGAGTAAGGACCTCTTTAAAAAAGAAATAACATCACGATCTCATCCTGGTCGTCAGACATTGGGCTGCATTGATTTTCGCCTGACAAGAAAGGGGACAAACAGAGGTGCCAGCCCCTTGGGGCTGGAACAAGACATTGGTGCAGTATTCTCGTCAAGTGATACAAGTGAAGTCGTGCATGGTTGTTTGATCCGGTGATCATATAGCGATGAAGTTCAACAACACTAGCACGCGGTTCTGGGTAGTGCTGCCACTGGACGTCGTGTCAACTTGGAACTTCCTTGCAGCCACCAACACGGGAAAGGCACAGCATATGTATTGTCATATCTGCCGTGGAAGAGACTCAGCTTGTACCGAACCAACTCTCCCATTGGCTCCTCTTGCCCCTGGCATTTGAATCCAATCCACACTAGTGTTGGGCATGTGCTGGGGTTTGGTTGCAGGAACAAATGCATACTAATATATTGCCCCTAAAACTGTGTCTAATTGGGGTACGATATTGCCAGCTCGGGAACACAGGCACCACTTGTGCTGGGAGGTGAGGCTCATTCGTGATCAGGGGTGAATGACTCGAGGCCCAGGATCCCTATGTCAGCCTAATACTCCATAAGAACTACGGAGGAGAAAAAAGACATATCGATGACCTTGAGAGCACTACCCATGGACGCAGCGACAGGGAGGCGAAGTGGATTCTCTCGCCTTCGGAAACCCAACTATGGGGGATAGACGCCAGCCGACTGGCCCATAACGGCCGACACATGGTGAACATTCTGAGGCCAATATATTGTGCAGCTTGGGCTGTCGCTGGGTGTATGGCGATAGACCCAGTACAGAATCTTCAGATTGAAGTGAGCGCTCAGTTCTAAAGTGTATGTTACCTGTGTTGTAGGGTAGCAAGATGGCCACCTCTCGCGCAAGTGGAGATTGTTTCCGCACTGTGTTGACGCACGGAGCTCGAGGGTTCATGCACAGTATCAAGAAACCCCACCCGAAGAAAGTCCGCATCATCACGATATATCTACCACATGATAAACAAGCGAGAACGGACCGAACAAGTTTATAGGGCGAATTGAAGCCACCAAGGAGCGTGTTAGGGTACTAGAGTCGCAATCCCTCTTCCCTGAGACGGCGTTCGCAGTGGAACTATAGACACCTTGTACAATACATGTCGACTATATCTCGCCAATCACCGCGGCTACAACGACAGAGAAAGCCACCAGAGACAATCCGCCATGAGCGACCTGAGGCGAGCATGGGCAAAGTCAAAGCTTGGACTTGTACCGGAACCCTTTATGGAACGGGAGGAGGAGGAGGAGCTGAAGCAGGAAGACCAGGCTGGGGACCAGGTACCAGAGCTACCAGAACATATGGATGATGATTCCTCTTCGGCTTCGTCAATGTCATCGACTGGCACCATTATTCCCACACCGAGTCAACGACTTTTCGCTCGTCCTCAGGGGTATGGTTTATCTTTTTTTTCTTTTCTTTTTCTTTCCCTTTTCTTCTTCTTTCCCCCCCGCTGTGTCTATTCTATATTCCTACGCCAACCCTTGCCTTGCTGACCGAGACTAGTGTTGCTACAGGAAGGACTCTTGAACCAATACCCTGGACGACATACTTTGAGCGGCAGCTTTATATGCAACCTGGTGATGCTCAAGGGGTAACTTTTCACGCCTATCTAACATCTCCGGTAGATAATGGCCCCCTATTTGTCATGCACCATGGAGCCGGCTCATCAGCTCTTTCGTTTGGTGTTGTGAGCTCCGAGATTCGGAAGCGGCTTCCTTCAGCCGGTATACTTGCCATTGACTGCCGAGGTCATGGATCTACGATATCGCCGGATGGCACAGAGTTAGACCTCCGTCTTGCCACATTATCCGCAGACCTGTTTTTTATGATTCACTCCACAAAGGAACAAATGGGATGGCAACAGATGCCTTCGATTATGCTGGTTGGCCACTCTCTGGGAGGCGCGGTTGTGACAGACCTGGCCTTTACAGGCAAGTTGGGCACATCCCTACTCGGATATGCGGTTCTTGATGTTGTAGAAGGCTCAGCCATGGATGCCTTGCAGAGCATGCAGACTTATCTCTCTACTAGACCGAGTGGGTTTGCAAGCATCGAGACGGCAATTGAGTGGCACATACGGTCACGCACGATACGAAGCTCTGTGTCGGCCAGAACGTCAGTTCCTGCGCTTTTAAGACAAGAAGAATCGGCGGCAGCCTCTAGGCCATGGAGATGGAGAACTAACCTGGCGGCTACCCAGCCTTTCTGGGAAGACTGGTTCGTGGGATTGAGCAAGAAGTTCCTGGGCGCGAGGGGGGGGAAACTCTTATTGTTAGCGGGGACCGACCGCTTGGATACAGAATTGACGATTGGCCAAATGCAAGGTAAACTCGGAAGGAATTTCCTGCCTCTGCTTTCCGCACAGCCGCAAGTCAATACATGCTAATCACGATGCTCAGGCAAATATGCGCTGCAAGTATTCCCAGAAGCCGGCCACTTCATCCACGAGGACATGCCGGGAAAAACTGCTATCTCATTGGCAGACTTTTACAGACGAAACGATAGGACTGCACTTGTTTTGCCGCCCAAAGTATCTGATTTACTAAGACAGGGGAAGAGAGTGTGATGAGCGCAGAGATGGTTTCGTTGAAAGAAATACAAAAGTCGATGTGAAGGCTCGTATCAGCCCGGGATCTTTCCTGATATTACACAGCTGCAAGTGCAACAAGGCCTTGCCAGTCGGACGAGTCAGGACTCGGAAACGCACTCTTGTTAACTGAGCCAAGCGAACCGTCTCTATTGTTGCAACTGGAACCGGGCGCGTTTCAGTGCAAATATATTCATCTAGTAGTAGATAGTACAATGGTTGCTTCGTTGTATGACGATAGTCTTGTTCGTACCTATTGGGTACGAACCGTGCAGCCCGTCCCAGGTGACCAGGTCCATGGAGTTGCCGATACGTACGCATCCAGACGATATGACGTAATGACTGACAAAAACTACCAGACGACCAAGACAACCAGCCTCTTCATTTACAGCCTTGGCGTTTAAACATGTATACATGTACATGGTATGATTAATTCCATGGGCCACGCAACCTCCCGGACGGTCATTTTGACTACTCCTGTGGTGACTAGGTACCTACCTAGGTAGTTAGTTGATGGGCTCAGCAAGCATCTAAAACGAGTCTGATCCTCTGCCCAGGTTGGTTTCTGGGGTCCTTCGTAGTTGTTACCGGAGTAAACATTGGCTCGTGGGGCCCCCTCTGACCCCTGCCCCATAGCGCGCCTACATAATAAAAATGACCGCGTAAATACACGTTCTTGAGTAAAATAAATTTATGAAGAAATTACATATATTCAAAATTTTTATTCAAAAAAAGCCCAAGGTTTACAGGCACATATAAAGCCGCTAATATTAAGGCTATCAGAGGCTATACGGCCGGTCTCAATCGCGACTTTTCTTTTTAACCTTTCAACTCCCCAGCGTTGTAGTTTTTATGTACTCCACGAAACCATAGATACTTATATTTTATATCAAAATAATATGTAAATCTCATGTACTTTTTAAGCGTTATTGTCTGATTGGCCTCAACCCCTGCAATTCAGTCTCCGCGAGCCATTCCGCAGCTAAAGAGATAGTTTGATCCCACTTCGAGCTAAATTGACTTGGTCAAGTCTCGCCTGTACTCTTCCAAACGCCATAGGTCGCTGCTCCCGACTCCCTACCTACCTAAGGTAAAGTAGGTAGGCACTTAAAATAAATACACTGGGTGTATGTGGCTGCCAAGCAGGTCCGATCTCTCTCCCTTCCTCCTCGATTTGGCGCATCTCATCTTCGTCACCTGTCGCCGCACTTTGGCCCCCCAAAACTTTTTGATTCTGCATCCCTTGCTCCCGCCAACATCCGGCCCCCTCGCAGCTATCTTGTTGAAACACCTAGGACTCTATCTCTCGCGACCCCTTTACTTATTATAGCCACGATGCGATCCTCATTCGTCACCTTGGCCGTTGCTGTCGGCTTCGCGGCCGCACAGCTCCCACAGCTAGACAAGATCCCCCGATGCGCCGTACGACCACCTCTTGTACCCCCCTACACAACCCCGAGCTGTCTTGAAAGTCCCCGGCCTGCACAATATGCTGTTTTCTCCAGTTGCTAACGGGTCATTGGTTACAGTACTCATGCGTCCAGTCCTACATCTCCGGAACGAATATTGCAGGCTGCAAGCCGGCCGACATTGCTTGCGTCTGCGGAAACAAGGACTTCATTGGCGGCATCTCCTGCTGCCTCCAGAAGGACTGCTCCAAGGCTGATATTGATTCTACCATCATCTTCGCTAAGCAGCTGTGTGCTGCCAGCGGCGTCAAAACTCCCGAGCAGCTTGTCTGCTCTTCTGGCTCTGGCTCTGCCTCTGGTTCTGCCGCAACCCAGACCGGAAGCTCTAGCCCTACTGCCACGGGCTCGCAACAGAATACGAGCGCCGCCTCTGGCAGTGCAACTGCTGCCACAACTGCTGCCACTTCGACTCACACTGGTGCTGCTGCTCCTGCCTTTCGCAACCCAGGCGGCCTTCTCGGTGCTGCTTTAGCCATCGTTGCCGCTCTCTAAATAACAGATGGCCTATAGTTGAATAGATGGGTAGGACGCGAACTGGGCTGCTGACGGCGTATCAAGTGTATAGAAGCCGTGGTCATTATGCCGGCGACAGTTTTTGTTTGTTTGTGTACGAGCGCTGATGTATGTAATGATGCTTCCTGTACCCTGGCAACCCGATTCAACTTCTCCTCTATACCGGCTTCCCAAACTTTGCCATTGTCTTCAACCTTGCGTTGCCCTTGCCGAGCTCAATCCCACCCGTCTCTGGACTTGACGTTTGCTTACGGCGGCGAAAAGCGTATGATACCTAGCAGCCCTCCAAATTGCCTATTATAGAGTACGCCCCTTAAAACAGAAGCCTGTCCCAGACTGCTTGCCCACAACGGTGGAGCTGATTACCTTTTGGACATTGCCTAGATTTGTTGGAGTGGTATCGAGTACGGAGTACTACGTAGAATCAGGGTCACCCCGTCTTTCACCCGATTTCCCACCCCGACACCCCGCCATACTGCCCCCGCTCTGCCGACCCCACTGACATCAGGCACGACCAAGAGCTTCTTTTCTCTGGCATCCCGACTCTTCCACTCAATCCGGCCTTTTCGCCCTCAAATTCGTACCGCCCAATCTCCTCCTCCTCCTCCTCCTCCTTCCCCTAAAAAAGACACCATGACCCCGCCGGCAATTATTGCGCCTTCAATTCTATCTGCTGACTTTGCTCAGCTGGGTGAGGAATGCGCTCGTACTATGGACCAAGGTGCCGACTGGCTCCACGTCGATATCATGTTTGTTCATCAAATGTTACCCAACTGCCGTTTGCAATGTACTAATGTAGCTTAGGGATGGCCACTTTGTTCCGAACATAACATTTGGAGCTGCCGTCGTTGCCAAGATCAGAGGACATGTTGACAAGCCCACCGAGTGTCAGGGCAGAGGTACCTTTGACTGCCACATGATGATTGCAGAGGTAAATAGGGCCAGTTTGTAGAGGGCGCAGACTCCGATTACTGAAATTTGGGTCATGGCTGACGGCTTTTCTCGGTTGTTTTTATAGCCCAAGAAATGGGTCAAGGAGTTTAAAAAGGCCGGCTGTGACCTGTATTGCTTCCACTATGAAGCGGCGTTTTCGACTGCTGCCGAGAGTCCCGAGCAAACGTCGGACAAGAAGACCAGCCCCAAAGAGCTCATTCGGTATATTCACGATAATGGAATGCTTGCGGGCATTGCCATCAAGCCCGACACGTCTGTTGATGTGCTGTGGGATATCTTGGAGACTGCTGATGCCAAGGAAATGCCCGACGTAAGCTGTAACCCAACGACCATGAGAGTGCACATTTCACCCGGCGAGCTTGTTATTTTTTTGCTGACTAGACAGATGGTTCTTGTCATGACGGTTTACCCTGGATTCGGCGGCCAGAAGTTTATGGCGAGTGAGCTCCCCAAGGTGCAGGCCTTGCGGGCCAAGTACCCCGAGTTGAACATCGAGGTTGACGGTGGCCTGGGGCCTGGAACTATTGACCAGGCCGCCGATGCTGGGGCCAATGTCATTGTTGCTGGCAGTGCCGTGTTTGGCGCAAAGGACCCGTCCGAGGTTATTTCTGTACTGCGAAAATCGGTAGATTCGAGGGCTGGTAGATTATGAGTGTGCCGTGATGGGCTGCCATTGGTCGGAGATATAAATATCTATATATGTACACGAATAGACGATGGAATGCTGCTTGGTATAATAGAAAACGCAACCTGAGGGTCTACCGTTCGTTTTGTTTCGGTAACGAGGACATCATCCACCAGCCACATCCAGACACACAAGTTTGCTGCGTGCAACACATCTTTGCCAGATGAAACCATATGAGCCAATGTCTCCCTGGCGCTAACATGCATTGCATTAGGCACTTGATGCAGGTCACGGCAGCGGGCTTCAAAGGCGGGGCAAGGTATTAATAGTAGCGGCGACTAATTACTAGCGGAAAGTCTGCCAAGCGTCTGTCGTCGGTTACAAAAATATCTAAGCGCTTCCAACGAGATGCAATGAATGGCATGCAATTGGTCGATGTCCTGAGTGTAGGTGGAAATCATTGCACGTCTGATCGACTGTGGTTGGCCTTTCCATCCATCCATGAATTGACCCAGTCGGTGACGGAGTATTTCAACATTTGGACTTTGACGCGGTGGGACGCCGACGGTTAGGTGGTGCCACGGCCCAGAAAAATTTCTGGTTTCTGACGACGTTCGGCCCACCTCGGCGGCTCAAAGCTTTTGGAGAAAAGAAGCACTTTACACTCACCTGTCCTCGCCTCGTTGTGAGCGTGGTGTTTTTTTTTCTTCCCTGCCATACCAAAGTTTTCGTTGGTCTTTTTTTTTTTATATACACAATTGTTTCGAGCATTCAATCGGCATCACACGTATTCGCAATGAAGAGAAAGGCAGAAAGCCAGGCCAATGGCAAGCAAGCCAGCAGCAAAAAATCCAAACTCTGTACGTTTTCGCGCTCCCCCGACACCACCACTACCATCGAGACAACCTGCCGCAAAGAACCGGACCAAAGAACTGACCTTGTTATTCGGACCTGAACAGCTCTCTCGGCCGAGGAGGCACAGAAGCGGTTCCGAAGCGGCTTATTCGACAAGTCTGTGTTGGACTCGTACACTCGTGAATATGCCACCTCCTCACCCTATAAGCACGCCGTGATCCACGAGCTGGTCGACGACAAGCTGCTGCGCTCTGTGCGAGACGAGGTCCGCGAGAACGTGCAGTTCACTCCCAAGGAGACCGACATTTACAAGATTCACCAGTCGGGAGACTTGGCCAACTTGGATGGCCTCGACGACGAGTCGCTGGCCAAGCTGCCGTCTTTGCTGGCCCTCCGAGACGCTATCTACTCCGAGACGTTCAGAGACTATGTTTCCGGCATCACTGGCTGCGGCCCGCTGAGCGGTAGGAAGACTGACATGGCAATCAACGTGTACACACCGGGCTGCTTTCTCCTCTGCCACGATGATGTCATTGGCAGTCGCAGAGTCAGCTACATCTTGTACCTGACTGATCCCGACAAGCCGTGGCAGCCGGAGTGGGGTGGTGCTCTGCGCCTCTTCCCCGTGCAGGAGATGACGAGCAAAGACGGCCAGGTGGCCAAGACGCCGCTGCCCGACGTTGTCAAGGTGATCCCGCCGGCCTGGAACCAGCTCAGCTTCTTCGCTGTCCAGCCGGGGGAGAGCTTCCACGATGTGGAGGAGGTGTACCACGCCGCGACCAAGGAGCAGCTAGACGAGGACAATGGACGAGTTCGCATGGCCATCAGCGGCTGGTTCCACATCCCTCAGATTGGAGAGGAGGGCTACGTCGAGGGCGAGGAGGAAAAGAACGCCAAGAACAGCAGCTTGATGCAGCTCCAGGGCAACCCGGCGCAGTACGACGCGCCCCAAGCCAAGCCCGTCAAGGTCGACCACCCCACGTCCAGCCAGGACGATTTTGAAGAGGCCGATTTGGAGTTCCTGCTCAAGTACATTGCGCCGACCTACCTGACGCCCTACACGCTCGAGCAGGTCTCGGAGCACTTTGAGGAAAACTCTAGCATCACCCTGTCAAACATCCTGTCCAAAAAGTTTGCCCAGCGATTAAAGGACTACATCCAAGCGCAGGAGAAGCAGGCTCTCCCGCAGGACAGCAAAGACATTGAGAAGTCCTCGCCCTGGAAGGTGTCCCGGCCCCCGCACAAGCACCGCTATCTGTACCAGCGACCCAGCGAACCAGACCAGCTGCGCACATCGCAGGAGGAATCCCCCATCACAGAGCTCCTCGACATCCTCCTGCCAAGCAGGCAATTCCGCCACTGGCTCCAAATCGCCACAAAGTGTACCGTCCAAAGCCACGACCTTATTGCACGCCGCTTCCGCCGCGGCGCCGATTATACACTCGCCACAGGACATGAGGGCAAGCCTCGGCTCGAACTTGGCCTGGGCATGACGCCAACGGACGGTTGGGGGGACGATGACAAAAAGGAGAAGAAGGAGGAGCTCCAGGCCAAAGGCAAAGGCAAAGCCAAGGCCAAGGCCAAGGCCGCGCAAGAGCCACCATCCAAACGGGACGGGGAAGACGACCAGGTCGGCGGCGTGGAAATCTACATGGCCGGCGACGATGACGACGACGAAGATGCCGCCGTGTACAAAACCTCCGGGGACGACGACAACATTCTCTTCTTCCAGGCTGCGTCATGGAATAAGTTGACTATTGTGCTGCGAGACAGCGGCGCCCTCAAGTTTGTCAAGTACGTGAGCAGGAAGGCCCAGGGCGATAGGTGGGATATCTCGGGCGTCTTTGAAATAGAAGACCTTGACGAGGAAGATGAGAGGGAGGAGGTTGAGGAGAACGGCAATGGAGAGAGTGTTGCTGGTCCTGCATTTGGCGAGTCAGATGAGGATGAATTCCAAGGGTTTTCGGACTCGGAGGGAAGCGAGTCTGATTAAGAGAAACAGGGCGTTTACGAACATTATGTATGAGCTAAATTGACCATGAATTTGGGTATATTGGAGCGTTTGAATACTCCGGATATCTGGTACATGTTTTGCTATTATACGAGATTGTGCGTTCCACCTTGAGCTCGCATTAAGCCAGGCCGGCCTTTCCTTCTTCACAGCTTGTGCATGTGATGGACACTGTGGATGCGGCATAGAAGCCGGGTATATGGTAAATACCTGGCATGCTACCGGCGCGCACGGATGGCACACGCGAAGTTGAGCTGCCTTTTAAAGCCCATCTGAGGCTTGGAGTATGTGATGTTGGAAGAGTAAGAGTCATCCATTTCAAGTAGCCACTCAAGTTGGGCTCAACGAGCTAATCGATACATTCGACAATTCTGACCGCAAAAGCTCCGTCACGCTGTCTGCTTCTCGAATCCTTCCCGACTGTGTTAAATGATTAACTGTGTCGTGGCCCAGGAACGCAATCCACGGCAGCATGGCCATGCCTTTGATGCTGCTCCATTTGATCTTGTCGGGGTTCAACTTTGCCACTAATCTCCGGAACTTTTCCTTGTCATTGAACAGACGCAGGGCCGGTGCGTGGTCTGGATGCGTAGGGTGATAGAGGTGGAGATGTGCCTTTTCAATCTCGAATCGTTGAGGGAGTAGCTCGGCCGTGGCCAGGTGCGCGTCAAACAGTTTCTCTGACGCGGCGCCTCGGCTGTATGATTCGACAGTAGATAGCCAGGATACTGATCGCCAAGGGGAGACGAGGAGTCTAGGCAGGAGAGGGCTGTTGTGGTAAAGCTGTTCGGCATCCAATACGGTTGTGATGGCTGCGTCCAGGCTTCCATGTTGTGGTTGACTCTTCGTGCGAGCAATCTGGAGCAGTATGAATGCGGCGCGACTGATTCGTACATCCTTCTCCCAAGAGAGGCCAGTATCGTTGACTATCCGGGTTATCCACTCCCACGCCACGCTTTCTAAACCTTCTGCGATGAGCAACGGCGTCAACGCTCGAATAAAGGGCTGGTTATCGAGGAATCTGAGCTTCGCCTCAGCACCGGATGATTTGAGCCACCGCACAACTCGTAGTGCGGTTTGTGATGAAGAGAAATCTTGGGGGGAGGTGGATGCGGAGAGTAATCGTCGCTTGGCCACCATACATCCTGTAGCGGCTGTGAGTGTCATCATTCCTTTGGCCACGGCGTGGTCGAATACATCCATGGGGTCTCGCTTGGACACGGGCAACGTCTCGGCTGGTGAGTGGGAGCTAGCTTGCTTGCTATAGCTAAAGAGTGGGTTGGAGAGAATGGACTTTAAATGTCGGGTTGCGGCCGAATGTCGAATAAGGTGGTCAGGATCTGCGACTCTGGCCAAGGCCGCGGCGCGCTCGGAACCCATTCGGCCATATTCACGGTCAAGTTGCTGCCGAAAGGATGCCTTGAGGCCATCCAAAAGCTTTTGAGACTGCTGTTTTGATAACCCAGCTGGCTCGTGATAGCCAGCGAAGAGGTTCCGCAGCGCTTGGGTAGATTTTGTTGAGAACATGGTAGACTTTGACTTGCTCACTTGCTCGGAGCAGTGAGGGTCGCAGAGGGAGCGCTAGCTCTGTCTATGGCGGACTCATGACAAAGATGCACAGGCAATGATAACTTTGGCGTTGGACTGGAGGTGGTGACGTTTGCCTTGGATCAGCCCACCTTTGACACCAACATCACGTGGTGAGATCAGAGATCTCATTGTCCACCATTGTCCAAAGAGAGTTGAAGGAAGGGAGCTAGTGTGGGGCTGGCAGTGTCTGTGCCTTGGAGCCAAGTTTCCGGCCTCAGGATAGAAAACAAAGCGAGCTACGGAATATCTGTACGGAGAGCGTCCCTGACATTGGTCAATCTTGCTGCAGGGACAGCTGAATGCTCACACATACCAAGCCCAGGCTGGCTTGCTGAAGTGTGCGATCGGAGATGCAAAGCGACGAGTGAAGATTGAAGTTTCCGTGCTCTGACGTAGGCAGGTGTGGGTGTGACACTGCACCATGGGAAAAAAAAAAAAGGCCAAAACCGCACGTGTGATGGCGACATTGCTTACTCGGTACTCGTATCTAGTCAATGGACCCACGGAGAGAGTGCTGAACAGCAGTTCAATATGGACGGCAACGTCCCGATTTCTCAAGTCCGGTCAGATCTGATTGTTTCATCGGCTCCATGTGTCGGGGCTGCCGAGGTTGCTGATGTGGTCGACGAGACGGACAATGGCTGGCCGCGCAAGATGGCGTAGGAGCCCCAATTCAAGCCCAAAATAGTGACGAGATCGCCATGTAACTCACCGGAGCGAAAAAAAAAAAAGGAACACCGACCATGGTTCACGTTCTATGCGCGGCTATGGAACAAAGGGCTGGGAAGCGTGATGGCGCGCGCTTCTATTGTGGGCAAAAGCACCCTCAGGTCACCGCGAGTACGACTATGTACCTGGCCGTGCTGCGCAGGGACCCTGCCAGCGGAGGAGGCACGATATTTGATGTTTATCAATCCCTTCTTCTTTCTCCCTGAAGTCGTCTAGCACACAGTAGGGGATATGAGGACAGGGATTCATCAAGAACTTGGGCAGCAAAAATAACCCAGTCGACCTGGGGGCACCCCACCGAGTGTGCACGATTGGAAGGGAGCACAGATATCAATCACTGCAACAGAATGTTGCTGGGAAACGCCATTGATGCATGTGAAATAAGACCCGGCCAAGGCAGCGGCGTTACCATCCAAGGTACGGACATGGAGTACAATGCATCGCTAATGACTGCCTGATGTGCTGGTGATGTTGAGGCGCAAATATGCCGTTGACCCCAGACTTGCGTACATAGCCTTAGGTCTAGGCATCAACCTCCTCCGTAGTCCATGTTACTTTATGAATATTTGACCATGGTGCAATTTGCTGGACACCACCAACATTGGGCTGCACTATTGCTTGTTATGCGGCATTGACCACCATTTGAACATACTATGCATATATTGTCTATCAAGTATACGCGGCATCCATGTCTCTCTCCCTGGGGCGCTGGAAAAATCACGTTGACTCGAGGGCTGCTGCGTCAAGTGATGTCCCCTCACTGTCCAGGGCTGGCCGTTGCAACAGTAACAGCACTTGAGAGCATTGAAGACCAGGCCTGCGCCGGGGGCTGCTCGGTCAGTGAGACTGACCAGTTGACCAGCAGTTGACCTTTAAGCGGCGTAAGGCATGTTGGGGCTTGAGGCGGTCCAATGGCCCAATACATATGTATAATGTAGCCCAGTGGCCCACTAGACCAGACCAGTCAGTCGATCCACTGGCAGCACCAGAGACACTGAGCACTTGCGCGCACCAGACTTGAGTTCAAATGGACCCGGACCACCCAGGCCCGGACTGGTAGCTGCGCGTTGCCCGTCAATGGTCGCTGGTTTGGTGTCTGGTTGGTGCTGGTGCCCGTCAAAGTCAAAATCCTTCGTCAACCTGATCCATTTGGTCTCTGCTGCTTCCGGGGAAAACCTCGTGCCTCCCTTACCACTTCCACCATTCTCAAGCTCCTCCTCAACAACGCTCATCGCTTCGCAACACATTGCCGTGTTCTCATCCACGGGACTATCTCTTTATTTCGGAGTTGGCCCTCAGCCGCCTTTCCGTCCCACCTTGTCCTCTTTTTTTTTTCTTAATTATCCTTCTCTCTCTGCAGAGGGCCACCTGATTTGGCCACTGCGTCCCTCCAGACCTCTTCCACCTCAGACCCTTCGCCTCCCGCCACAAACCACAAACCATCTCCATGTCCGAAGTCGCATCAAGGTCGTCCGCCACGCGTGGCAGAGGCTCTGGCCGAGGCGGTAGAGGAGGTTTCGCCGGTCGAGGCGGCCGCTCCAGAACCAACGGCGACAAGTCAGACCATAAGGACGAAAACCTCGGTGCATTCGAAGACGAAGGCGAGTTCGCTGAGCTCCGCAAGAAGTATGGCGATAAAACATCTGTCATCCGCGAGATGTTCCCCGATTGGTCCGAGGCCGATGTTCTTTTTGCCCTCCAAGAAACAAATGGTGACGAGAACGAAGCTGTCGCACGCATTGCTGAAGGTGCGTGGTCCCCGTTTGCACCTGAATTTTTCACAGCTACCCAAAACCTGCTATCGCACTGTCCACGCCTCCCTGCAGTCAATTCGTTCATATCACGAAATCGAGCACATGCGTGTCGAGTGTCTCAAGCTTTCCCTATTGCCTTTCCACACTTTTTCTTAGCATTTGTTCGAGCCCTGAACGTTATCGTGGTGCAGCCTCCAAGCTGACTCTATATACTCCCTGCATAGGCAACATCTCCCAGTGGGGCGAGGTCTCAAAGCCCAAGAAGACTGCCCGCACAAAGGCGAAGGACACGACGACCGCCCCTGCCAGCGAGTCGGCTACGTCGACCTCTCGATCTGCCCGTGGCGGACGGGCCGTTTCTGAGGGCGGCCGTGGTCGAGGACGAGGTTCTGATAGAGGTGCTCGTGGTGGCGCCGGCCGTGGCCGCTCATTCCAGCCCAGCACCAATGGCACTCGTAACAAGGAAAATCAGCAGCTCTCAGTCCCGACTGAGGAATCCTCTGCCTGGGATAATGCCAAATCGAAAGACGACAAGCCTGAGCTCAAGAGTACTGTTGCCGATAAGTCCGCTCCTGTCGAACCTGCTAAGCCAGCAGCTCCCGCAGCCAAGACATGGGCTAGCATGCTGCGCCAGTCGACCGCTCCCAAGCCTGCGCCTGTTGCTCCCAAGGAAGTTCCTGCACCGAAGCCTGCTGATCTTGAAGCTCAGCTTGTATCCGAGCCCGCCCCAGCCGAACCCGAAATCATTGAGCCTCTAGAAGAAGAGACTACCCCTGTGCCTCAAAGCGCTGTCCCCGTCCAGGCCCCCGTTACTACTTCTGAACCTGAAACTGCTCTGCCCCCAACCAAGGACGAGCTTACCGAGACAAATCTTGAACAGGTTGTTGATGCCTCTAATCCACCTGCAACTGACACAGCTGCTAGCACCGCTGCTGACTCTTGGGACCCGCGACAGAGCCCCGTTAGTGCTTCCGCTACACCCATCTCGGCTGCTCACCAGCAGCATCAGGCTCAGCGAACTTCTGCAAGCGGATATGCTGCGTCTGCGATCAAGGCAACTACTGAACGATCTTCCCGTGGCCCTAGCTTTCAACGACGAGTTTTGGATCAGGAAGAGGCTGTTCGTATGCCAGGTAACCGCGAGGTGGATCGAGCTGCTGTTAAGTTCGGGGCTTTCAGCCTGAATGACGGTGACGAGGACGTTGATGGCGAGCGTGAGGAACCAGAGACTCGTGCCCAGCCCCCGGCCGACTCTCCTGTCGCTCATCCTCGTGCCTCTCTTCCTCCTGTGTCTCAGCCTGTCGCTGTTCCGGAATCACTCTCTCAGAAGACTGCTGGTGCAGTACCCTCGGCCGTCACCGGAGCTGGTAAGTCTAGGATTGCGCCAGTTTGTTGGATTACTGAAACTAATGTAGCAAAACACTGTACAGTTCCCACAGCTCCTGCTGCTGCTCAGGCTTCTGCTGCTGCTGCTGCAACTCAACAGTACGGTCGATTTGGACCTCCCGACACTGCTACTGCTGCTGCTACACAAAAGCCTCTCGATCCGTTCAACGCCGCCCAGCCTACTCCCTCCTCTCAACCCCAGTTCGACAGCTTTGCCGCTCAGACTACACAGCCTCAAGCTCAGCAGCCTGGTGTAGCTTTTACCTCTGCCCCATCCGACTACTCCAACTATTATACTGCCAGTCAGCAGGAACGAAACCCTTACAATGTTTACGGACAGCAGTACGGCGCTCAGCAAGCCGCCCATGGCCAGCACGACGGTGTTTCCCAACAGCGTCCTTTTGCCGGCTACAATGTTGCCGATAACCTTAGCCAATACCCGCAGAGCGGCTCTCTGCACAATCAACCTCGATTTGGCGGTTCTAATGACAGCCAAAACAGCGGCCACTCAACTCCCAATCCCGCAGCTCAGGCTCAGCAGCAAGGCCAGCAGGCTCAACAGGCTCAGCAAGCCCAGCAGTCCCAGCAGCCTCAGCAAGGGGCACCTGGCTCTCAGCCTCAGTCTCATGGGCAGTACCCCGGATACAATCATCCTTACTATAGCAACCCTTACTATCATCAGTACTACTCCGGCTACGGACAGGGCGGTTTTGGTCCTTATGGCGGCAAGGGCGGAATGTATGGCCAACCTTATGGAATGTCTCCCAATGCGCCATATGACCATGCTTCGTCTCCTAGCACTTTTGGCGGCCCATCCTCACTTCACCGAGATAGCAGCCTTGGCTCTGGCCTCGGCGAGTACGGCCGCGCTGCATCTGGCCAGGCGGGTAGCCAGCCTGGTTTGGGTGGCAGCAGCTTTGGCGGTGCCCACGACAGCTTTGCTCGTGGCGCCTCCTCTTTCCAATCTCAGAACCAGTCTTTCAACAGCCAGAACCAGCCCCCAGCCTCGGGCTCCGCTGACGACTTGAAGCCTTTCGGTGATAGCAAAACGGCCGCCTCCGGTCCCTCTCCCTCTCTTGGCGGCGGACCTCGTCCCGGATCTGCTACCAACAATGCCCCGAGTGGCCAGAGCGGCCTCCCTCCTCCTCAGAATTCCCAGATGGGCGGAGCCTATGGCGGGTGGCCACGCCACCTGCCCGGAGCAAGGCCAGCAGGCTCAACAGGCTCAGCAAGCCCAGCAGTCCCAGCAGCCTCAGCAAGGGGCACCTGGCTCTCAGCCTCAGTCTCATGGGCAGTACCCCGGATACAATCATCCTTACTATAGCAACCCTTACTATCATCAGTACTACTCCGGCTACGGACAGGGCGGTTTTGGTCCTTATGGCGGCAAGGGCGGAATGTATGGCCAACCTTATGGAATGTCTCCCAATGCGCCATATGACCATGCTTCGTCTCCTAGCACTTTTGGCGGCCCATCCTCACTTCACCGAGATAGCAGCCTTGGCTCTGGCCTCGGCGAGTACGGCCGCGCTGCATCTGGCCAGGCGGGTAGCCAGCCTGGTTTGGGTGGCAGCAGCTTTGGCGGTGCCCACGACAGCTTTGCTCGTGGCGCCTCCTCTTTCCAATCTCAGAACCAGTCTTTCAACAGCCAGAACCAGCCCCCAGCCTCGGGCTCCGCTGACGACTTGAAGCCTTTCGGTGATAGCAAAACGGCCGCCTCCGGTCCCTCTCCCTCTCTTGGCGGCGGACCTCGTCCCGGATCTGCTACCAACAATGCCCCGAGTGGCCAGAGCGGCCTCCCTCCTCCTCAGAATTCCCAGATGGGCGGAGCCTATGGCGGTTATCCCAGCCACTTGCAGGGACACAATCTTCATGGTAGTGCCTACGGAATGGGCGCCGGCGCGGGAGCCAGCCAACATGGCAACACTCCCTACGGCTCTTACGGACAGGGCTTCGGCAGCGGTGGATATTACGGAGGTGGCCAGCAGCAGCGTGGCGGCTGGGGCGGAAACTACCATTAGTGGGGTAGGAACCGTGATCGCGATGGAAAGCGGCGAGGTAGATACCGCCCAGAATATGGCGAGCGAGGAATACGTGCAAGGGAACGTGAGGAACGCATGATGAGAGAGCTCGGCCTTGACTTACCGAACCCTTGAGATGGGTTGTCTTTGTGTGTTTTATATCGAAGCATGGGAGGGGAAAACATGATCACCAAGACACGTGCCGCAACGCACAGGTGTTTAATGGGAATTACCGGAAGAGAGGCAAAGGAAACAGCAATGGGCCGGACGGTTTTGTGTTTTTTTTGGCCCATGGCGTACGTGTACAATTGCAAAAGAAAACCTGTTTACTGCGTTTTTTCTCTTCTCCTCTTGTTTTTGTCGAGAATATCCTATAAGAAAAAAGAATAAGGGAGGGGAGCGGCACCGGCCAAGACAAAAAGGAAAACGATGGTGTGGAGTTTATTATTTTTCCTACACGAAATATCAAGCGTCGATAGTTCTTGGACGAGTTTGCGACTTTGCGAGGTCTTCTTTCCTGTCCTTGTCTCTCACCCTCCCACTCTTTTTTCCTTGATAATATTGTTACTGCTCTCACCTCGGATAAAGGCATGAAAGGTTTGGCATTGGCTCACGAGGATTTTCTGGTAAAGTGGATGATGAACCAGGACAGATTGTATTTGACGACGGGAGGGAATGTGCGTTTGAGGAGTTTTTGGTCGTCTCCAGGAGATGCAATCGATGGGATGCGATAGGAGATAGTCAATCAGAATTATGCACGTTGACACTTGTTCTTGGGCTGCGAATTTGGCTTGATATGCGATGTCATATAGATGGAAGAACTACGGAGCCAGAACGTGTATATCTAGGTACGAAGTCGATGCTTTCTATATTGCGCCGTGTATCTGTCTATTGACGACCAGCATGAGTAGCCTGCTGCTATCTTCATATATGCGCAGACGGATCAGCACCCTCGGGGATGCGCGTTGATCCAAGATTGGCTTCCCAATGCTGTCCAGATGTCTCTCAATGGTGGTAAAATAGTTCCGAAGGCGGCGGCCGCCTTGCGCAACCTATCACAGCCGCTTCCGCACCGGACCGGCACTTGGTCCGCGTTCCATACATAGGTGCCTACTGGGTTTTGGGAGCCTTGTACATACCTAGGTAGGTACCTACCTACGCGCGCGGCCCCTGTTTCTGGTGACAGCACAACTTTCACAAGACAGGTCTTAGATTATCACTATTTATTAAAAGTCTAATGTATTGACTAAAAAATTCTGTTTAGCTGTCTTGTTATAGCTGATAGCCAGAAGACAGTCACCAGAAAACCCCTTAACGCGCTAAATACCTAGGTACCGGGCGGCGAACTAGATTCCGATTGGTGACACGACCAACAGAAGGAAGGTGCATATTGAAGAGCAGCTCTCGCCCACCTCGTCCACGGCTGATATTCTGGGCACTGCCGCATTGAAGTGCCGTGATTTTGTGGTTTTTCTTTTCTTTTCTTTTCTTTCGACATGGGGCCGTACTTTCCTGTCATGTCCACGGATGCGCACAGAGTAATTATTGCTGGATTCTTGCTCTCCAATGTGAGAAATGTGACATCTGGGCAGCATCGGGAATCGCCGCCAAAACTCAATTTTGGCCCACCATCTGCATCCACAAACCATACGAACCTGCTTGACTCCGCCGGTAAATGGCACTTCAGTTACTCCGTACGGATCTGTTTCTTGTTGGTTATCGGTTCGTCGACCAGCACCGGGGTCCACATGGACTAACTTGCGCCTGTTTACTTGACACATTTTAAAAAGAAGCAAGTCCCCTGTTCGCATTGTTCTCGAGGCCCGGAAGAGGGTGTGTCTCGACGATGCCATGAGCCCTGTAAGGTGAAGACATACTTCACAATGGGCTCCGGGCCTCCGACTACCGAAAAGGATACGACGTCGAGGTCGCGACGGGGACGGGCTGATTCCGACGCAAACAACACCAGGACCGTCTCGGTGCATGCAAACCAAGATGACTCAGATGCTGGCCTTGAGCGGAATGAGCCCGACGGCGAAGATGGGAATGGCGACTTGCCCATGTCCAAGGCACGATGTATTGCGCTCGTGGCTACCGTCACTGGAGCCGCCTTTCTCAACGTAAGTCAGTCGAAGTGTCCTGAGTGGGTTTCCTTCGCCTGGCGGAAGCCATCCAATACTTTCATTCCTTTTGACGACTCTGGATAATTGGGAGGGGGGCCAACTGACAGGGACGCTTTTGCCAGGTTCTCAACATCCAAAGCGTCGTCATCATCCTCCCTACCATTGGACGACATCTCGACATCCCCGAAGGTCGCCTGCAGTGGATCGTTTCTTCTTATTCGCTTGCCTTTGGGTGCTTCCTCTTGCTTTGGGGCCGCATTGCCGACATCTACGGCAAGCGGCTCATCTTCATCCTGGGTTCCCTGTGGGTGACGTGTGTTACGGCGGCGAATCCGTTTGTGCCTGATGAGATTGCCTTTAATCTGTTCCGGGGGCTTCAGGGGCTGGTAGGTTTTGATGTGTACAATCATGTGTGTGTAATTCGATGAATGCTGAAGGCTTATTCGATAGGGAGCGGCAGCGACAGTGCTCACGGCCATCGGGATATTGGGCGTCACGTTCCCGCCGGGGAGAGCAAAAAACTACGCCTTTAGCACGTACGGTGAGTTCAACTCGAGCCCAGACTTGGCCATCCACTGACCTTGTCTTGTCGTCAAGGAGCTGGCGCCCCCCTCGGCAGTGTATGCGGCAACCTCCTCTCCGGCCTCATCGCCGAATACGCCAACTGGAAATGGGTCTTTGGCGCGCTCGCCATCCTCTCCGCCGTCATAACTGCAGCTGGCGTGTTTCTCATCCCGCCTCGCCCTCCAGCTCCCCCTCCCTCGGACACCAAATCAGACGGCAGCGTTTGCGAGAACCAGCCCCCGGCGGTGGACTGGCTCGGCGCTGCGCTCATCACGACCGCCCTTCTGGCCCTCAACCTCTCTCTCACAGAAGGTAATGTCGTTGGTTGGGCCACGGCCTGGGTGCCTGTGATCCTCATCACATTCGTCCTCCTTGTCGCGCTCTTCGCGCTCTGGCAAATCTACCTCGAGCGCCGGCATGCCCGCGGCCTTTCCCGCGCACCGCTCATCAAGATCTCCGTCTTCCGCAATAGGCGGGTCACCGCCGCCCTGATCATCATGGGGCTCTTTTT